ATAGCGCCCTTATACGAATCTGGCAGCAAATAGATCTCTATGAAGTCTATCAATGGACCAGTCATGCTGATGCAACACTCTACCGTCAGATTGTAGAACAGGAACACACATATGAATTTCTCTTGGGGTTGAATGACAAATATGAAGATGTAAGGGGGAGGATCATGGGGTAGAAACCTTTACCTTCCCTTGAAGATACTGTCAACAACATAAAATTTGAGGAAAGTCGAAAAAAATTAGTGCAAGGTATAAACCTTAATTATTCCTCTACTCCTAGTACTAATATGATAGCCAAGGGTAAACGCTCTTTACTTTGGTGTGATCACTGCAACAAGAGTGGTCACACTAAGGATAAATGCTAGAAACTTCATGGGAAACCGCCCAACCTCCATAAGCAGAAAGGCAGAGGTGAAGCTCAAGGACTATATGCTAGTCCTACATCTGAAAAACAGCCATTAATTCAAGAGGAAATCACAATACTCAAGAGACTTTTAGAAAAGCATGAAGTTCCTCCTTAATCCAATAAGAATTCTAACCCATCCGTTACTCTGGCACAAGCAGGTATGTCTCTCATAGCTGCACTTAGCACCCATACAACATCCAAGAACATTTGGATAGTCGACTCTGGTGCCACTCATCACATTACTGGTTTTAAGGAATTATTCAATGAGTTTAAAACTGAATCTGCATATCCTCATATCAAAGTTGCTAATGGGATGTATGCTAAGGTTGAAGGGGCTGGAACTGTGATAATTTCACAGGATATTAAACTAGAAAATGTATTATATGTGCCTGAAATTGAATGCAATTTGGTTTCAGTGAAACAAATTTCTAAGGAACTCGGTTGTAGTGCTACATTCTTTGACACTCATTGTATTTTTCATGATTTGACTTCAGAAAGGATGATTGGCAATGCTAAAGAATGGGATGGTCTCTACTACTTGAGAGGAAGGGGAGAGAGAAATAAAGTAACAAATGTTGTTGCCTGCTCTACTTCATCAGATAATGAGTTGATGTTGTGGCATTATAGGTTAGGCCACCCAAGTCTCAATTATATGAAATTGTTATTTCTAGATTTTTTTAATAAAATAAATCCCTCCTCTTTCCACTGTGATTTTTGCTACTTTGCCAAACAAGTCCGAAACTAGTATTTACCTCATCCTTATAAACCATCCTAACCTTTTGCTTTGATACATAGTGACATTTGGGGACCTTCTAGAATTTCAACTGCAAATAATGCTAGATGGTTTATCACTTTAATTGATGATCACACTCACCTAACTTGGGTATTTTTGATGAAAAACAAATCTGAAGCACTTGATATTTTTCAACGCTTTCATGTTTTTGTACAAAATCAATTTAAATCTTCAATTCAAATATTGAGAAGTGATAATGGCCGTGAGTACACTAGTACAGCCTTTCTAAAATACTTGTTTGAAAAAGGGATTCATCATCAAAGCTCTTGTGTTAACACTCCACAATAAAATGGCATAGCTGAAAGGAAAAACAAACACCTTTTAGAAGTTTCAAGGGCTTTAATGCTTACCAATAATGTTCCAAAAATGTTTTGGGGTGAAGCTGTTTTAACTGCAACATATTTAATAACTAGAATGCCCTCAAGAATTTTAAAATTTCAAACCCCTGTACAAAGTTTTCAAGAAGTTTTTCAAAACACTCACCTATTGCTAAACATATCTCAGAATTTTTGGCTGCACCATTTTTGTGTATGATGAGCATGAAGGAAAATTGGACCCAAGAGCTATCAAATGCGTTTTTTTGGGGTATGCAGCCTCTCAACAAGGTTATAAGTGTTATTCACCTTCCACTTGTAAATTTTATATCACTATGAATGCTCGGTTTTGTGAAGATCAACCATTTTTTTCAAAAATTACCCATTCAGGGGGAGAGTGAGACCAATAATGAATAGTTAATTTGTTTTCAAAATAGAAATTCTGATAAACCTGCCTCTGGCAGTCCCAGTACTGAATCTAGCAGGTCCGAAATGCCAGCTAAACCCCCTCTTGAGTCTGCACCTCCTCTTCCTACAATATCAAATGACCCTTAATCACCTCAAATTGTACCCTCTGAACCTAATATCACCTCATCTGAACCTAGTATAGAGGAAGATATTCTGGAAAATTTTGGCAATACAGAAAAAGAAAATCTAGACAATTCTGGTACTAACAAGAGAAGGGTGGAACAATCTAGTATGCAGGAGAAAGAACCTTACATCAGGTGAAATAAGGGCACTATATTGGAGGACCAATCACAATCTAGGCGAAACAAGGGCACTAAACATAATGTGAGTGAAAGTAGTGACCAAACTATTCCTATGCAAGTCCAAGAATCTAAACCGGAGGCAAGTTTTGAGGACTTATGTTGGCCAATTGCCTTAAGGAAAGGCAAACGAACATGCACCCAACATCCTATTTGTAAGTACGTTTCTTATAAGAAACTCTTTCGTCCTACAAAATCCTTTGTGGTTAACGTGACCAATGAGAAAATGCTAGAAACCTTTGAGGAAGCAAAAGAAGATCCTAAATAGACAGCAGCAATACAAGAGGAGTTGCAGGCATTAAAAAGAATCAAACCTGGAGTGTCACCAATCTACCTAAAGGGAAAACTAGTTCACCATCAAATACAACCCTAATAGGACTATCAACAAGTACAAAGCAAGACTTGTGGCTAAAGGATACACCCAAACTCGAGGCATAGATTACCAAGAGACATTTGCTCCAGCTGCCATGTTCAACACCATTAAGGTTCTTTTATCACTAGCTGCAAACCTTGATTGGCCGTTACTACAACTAGATGTGAAAAATGAATTCTTAAATGGTGACTTAGAGGTGAAAGTTTACATGAAATTACCACCTAGGCTAAAGTGAAGTGGAAGACCTAGACAGGGTTGTAAATTGCAAAAATCTTTGTATGGCTTAAAACAATCCCCTCAAGCTTGGTTTGGACGTTTTACACGAGCAGTCAAACAGTATGATTATACCCAGTGTCAATTGGATCATACTTTGTTTGTGAAACATAACTGTGATAAAGTTGCTATCCTAATTGTGTACGTAGATGATACTGTATTGACAAGAAACGACTTAGAAGAGATTGAAAAATTCAAGGCAAATATAGCCAAGGAATTTGAAGTTAAAGACCTTAGAAACCTAAGATACTTCTTGGGTCTTAAAGTAGCAAGATCAGAAAAGGGGATCAGCATCTCACAAAGGAAATATACACTTGATTTATTGATGGAAATAGGGTTGTTAGGGTCAAAACCTATGGGTATACAAAAAGAACTTGAGAAGAAAGAAAGGAAAAGAAGGATCATCTGTAGACAAAGGGAGGCACCAAAGACTAGTGGGAAAACTCATCTATTTATCCCACACGAGGCCAGACATCAGTTTTGCAGTTGGTGTGGTCAGTCAATTCTCAAATGACCCACGTAAAGAGCACATGGAAGCAGCTTTCAGGATTCTAAGATACTTAAAGAAGACTCCTGGAAAAGCACTGTTCTTTAACAAAGGAAACAAGAAGAATGGAGAAGTCTGCACTGATGCAGATTGGGGTGGCTCTGTAGTTAATAGACGCTCTACTACTGGATGTTGTACCTTGGTTTGGGGCAATCTTGTGACTTGGAGGAGCAAGAAGCAACTAATGGTCTCAAGAAGCTCAGCAAAATCAGAGTACACATCTCTAGCTCTGGGCATATGTTAAGGAATGTGGATCATAAGACTCCTAATGGAGCTACACATTGAAATAAAGGGACCTTACAAGGTATGGTGTGATAACATGTCAGCAATAAACATTGCACATAATCCAATACATCACAATAGAACCAAACATGTGGAGATCGACCGCCATTTTATAACTAAGAAAGTTGAAACAAAAGTGATTGACTTGACCTCTATACCTTCAAAAGATCAGATTGCCGACATCATGACCAAGCCACTTGCGAGAGAACATTTTGAAGAACTAAGTGACAAGTTAGGAATGATTAATATGTATTCGCCAACTTAAAGGGGAGTGTTGGAATGTGGCATCTTGGGCCTATTAGGTTAAGCCCAAACATGTTAGGGTTTTTAAGAATAATTAGGCTTGAAGAAGCACAAGTGTACCATCTTAGACTCTTATTTCTTTCCTTTTATATCTTATTAATTAGATAAGATTCTAATTGATCTTGTAAATATCTCTTTGATTTTACCTTGATTCTAGGGATTAACCAAAAGAGCTGTGTGGTTAAACCTAGATAAATACCCTAGTTGTAAATAGAATAATTATCTTTTGCCCAAATTCTTCATATTTCTTCTTTTAATTAAAAATAAAAATAATTGAAGATCATTGACCATTATGGTTTATTTATGTGGTGTTTTCGACCATATGACTTAATCAAGGTTTTTATGTTACTTCATTGAGTGTCTCTTCTATAATGAGGATCTCCTAGGATTTGTTTGTTATTTCTTGTTCTAGTGTATATTAAGCTTATAAGATTTATGTACATAAGGAGGTTTTTGTTTAGAAGTTTCTATAGAGTGAACTGATTAATGAATTTCATATATCCATCCTCATATATTCTCTTTTTTGTTGTCTTGTTTGTGAAAGCTCCTTTGGATCTTAGATCAGCAAGTCCCTTTTCTTCTTTTCTGGGAGAGGGTTACATGCCAGTTGTGTTATGCAACGTATGAGGAAAGATACAAATGACGAGGAGGATAAAAATCTTTTCATATGGGTGGTTTAGGGGAGTCTCTGTTTCTGACATACAGATACTGAAGGGATTGGATTAGCTTTGTGACATTTTTTTGGTTTGCTTGGTCTTCACTTTTTCTCTCATTTTGGACGATATCGTATATTCTTTTCTAGTGGTAAATCTTCTCTGCTCTAATAATTTTTCTTCTTTTATGGAAGAGTCCATTACACAATGCTTTAGAAGTTATCTGCAAGCTTCTTATTCCAGGCTTCCTGAAGTTATTCGCAATATTTTTATTATTTTAATTGCATGCCAGAATGCTTTAGAGGATTATGCTGGAATATCTAAGAATGAAACGGTCAAAAGTGGTGCCAGCAATGATCAAGAAAAAGGTGATCCTATTGATTCAACTTGGTGGTTTTAACCCTTTAATGTCACACGATGTCTTCTTGCTTCTCATTTCCTTTTTCTGCTTCTAAACAATTCAGGTTTCAAGTGGCCACTTAATGGTTCTCTGCAATTGGTTCCTACATCAAATGTACTAATTTATTTACTGTCATTTGCTACGTACTTTACATGCTATTTTATTTATTATTTCATCTTGTTGCATGAGTTGATATAAATTCTGCAGCAGAAATCTAGAGTTGGTCACCTAGATGCAGTCATCCGCCAAAGAAGCTCTACTGATGAAAATGGAAAGTCATGTGAGCTCACATTTGGGAGTTACTGCTTATGGCGCCAAGAACATAGAGAAGATATGAATGATGTTATCATTAAAAAATTGAAAGACCAATTATTTGTGGCTAGAGCTTACTATCCTAGCATTGCAAAGCTTCCAACACAAGATAAATTGTCTCATGAATTGAAACAGAACATTCAAGAGCTGGAGCGGGTCCTTAGTGAATCTACTACTGATGCTGATCTCCCCCCACAGTAAGCTATGATAACCTTACATGAGCTTTCTTCTTTCCTTTAGGTAAACTAGCAAGGTAGCATCCTGCTAGATCAATGTTTTCAGAATCACTTATAACATATGTCTGATCTCCCCCTAGATAATGCTCAATCATGCCTCAAATAAGATTGCCTCTAATAAGAGAATATTGTGAGTAATAAAAAAAGGGAGAATCACATCCAAGGACCACTCAAGCAAACTATTTCCATACAAGAACTAACAATAAGTCTTATTCGAGAAAAAAATAGTCACGTTCCCATTCTAACAATAATCTATTTCGCATTGGTCTTTATCTATGAATAATTTTCTTAAGTAGTCCTTGGATGTGATTCTCTCAAAATATATAAATATATATATCCATATATGTATATGTATATCACATGACTAACAACACTCCCTCAAGTTAGAGAGTCTATGTTTATCATTCCAAGCTTGCTACTCAAATCTTCAAACTTCGCTATAGGTAATGCTTAAGTGAGAATGTTTGCCACATGATGTTGAGTTGAAATATGAGGAAGACATATAATACTAGCATCTTCGTTTTTCCTTGATCTAGTTTGATGAATAGGATTTTTCACAACGTTAATACTGACAATATTCTTGAAAGAGGCCTTATATATTGTAACATGCAACTATAAGCTCCTTGAGTAGTCATTTGAACCATGGTATTTCGCATATGTTGTGAGATAGTGCTCAATATTTTGTCTTTGCAGTTCCAGCTACTACAAACTGTTTCTTATTCCATGTGATTAGATAGCCCCAAACACAGGTATCCTATGGTAGATCTTCTGTCTAAAATAGATCTAGCGAAATCTGTATTTCTGTAAATTTCTGCTCCTTTGTCACTTCCTTTCTTCAAATAGATGCCTTTATTGGTGTCATCTTTAAGTATCTCAAGATTTTATAGACAATTTCCATGTGTTTTTTTAGTTGGCTTGTTCATATATTGAAAAACCATGCTGAAAGGAAAACCGATGCTGTGTCATGTATATGAGAGATAGATCAACTTCTCAACCAATTTTCAGTGCCTTTCTATGTCAACAGGATTGCTTGCTTCCTTGAATCTCACTTTGTAGGCAGTCTCCATAGGCGTTTCAGCTAGCTGGCACCCTAGAATGCTCATTTCCTTCAAATGATTTATAGCGATTGACCCAAGTCCTATTGTGGTGATTTTGCTATCCTCTGCTTGCCTCAAACACCTATCTTAAAGCAACTGAAGTGACTACAAGTCACTTTGTTTTTTCTAATCATCATAGTTCCTTGGATAATTGTTGGCTAATCAGTTACTTGTAAAAACATAGTCTTGTATATTCATTTCCCCAAAGTTTTTTCTATCTCTAGGCTAATTGTGTCATTTCCATTGTTCTTACCTTAAACATGAAACCAATTTTGTCATCATTGCCTTTCAAGATTGGTCATTCCTGCCTTTATTTCCTTCCTTTATCTTGTTTGTTTTTTCTTGTTTGAAATGCTATAATGTTGTAAGAAATTTCACGTGGCAATCACAAATATATTTCCAGGATTGAGAAGAAGTTACAGAAGATAGAAGTCACAATAGCCAGAGCCAAATCATTCCCTGTAGATTGCAATAATGTTGACAAGAAATTGAGACAGATATTTGATTTAACTGAGGATGAAGCTGATTTCCATATGAAACAGAGTGCATTCCTTTATAAACTTACTGTTCAGACCATGCCAAAGAGTCTCCACTGCCTGTCGCTGAAACTAACCGTAGAATATTTCAAAACTACTCATGATAAGGAGGCTGATGCAGAAAAGTTTGTGGATACTTTGTTGCACCACTATGTTATTTTTTCTAAGAATGTTCTTGCAGCTTCGGTAGTAATCAACTCCACTGTTACACATGCAAAAGTATGTTATGACTATTCTTATGGGCCAGGGAGTTGTAGAGGTTAAATTTATGCAGTTGTAATAATTTCGTTTTGTTGTTGCCATGCAATATTTCAGGAAAGTTGGAATCAGGTTTTTCATGTGTTGACAGACGGACAAAATTACTATGCTATGAAGCTGTGGTTCTTGAGGAACAAATATAAGGAAGCTGCTGTACAAGTTTTAAATGTTGAGAATCTTAACCTAGACAACCCCAGAAAGGAAACTTCAGAGCATCTATCCTTGCCTGAGGAGTTCCGTGTTTCAATTCAGACTGATATTTCATCTACAAGTCAAACTAGAACAGAATACATTTCCATTTTTTCTCGTTCACACTATTTGCTTCCTGACATATTTAGCAAGTTGAAGAAAATAGTGGTTCTGGATGATGATGTTGTTGTCCAGAAAGACTTGTCAGCCCTGTGGACCCTAAGCATGGGGGGAAAAGTTAATGGTGCAGTGCAATTTTGTTCAGTAAAGCTGGGTCAGCTGAAAAGTTATCTTGGTGAAAAAGGTTTTAATCAAAATTCCTGTGCCTGGATGTCTGGGTTGAATGTAATTGACCTGGGCAGGTGGAGAGAGCTTGGTCTTACTCAAACCTACAAAAGGGTGATGAAAGAGGTGAGTGCTGTGTAGCTCAGTCCATCAGAAGCCATGCAACACTTTCTTAAAATATTATGGTCCCTCTCCTCCCCATGGATTTATTTCTCCCTCTTTTTCCTTTTATCTGATGAAATTGTTTGAAAGGGACAGAAGCTTGTTGCAGTGAGATGATCATTTTATGCTTGTTCAACAATAATATTGCCAAAAAAATTCTGTTAAATTAATTAGTAATTGGTATGGTGTTTCCTTTATTTATAAGCCAATGCATCTCGGCAGCCATTATTTTAACTCACCAGCCACGTTTATGTGTCGAATATTTTGAGCCATTTCTATTTTCTGACTCTTTACATTACGATGTAGTTGAGCTTGCAAGAAGGATCCTTAGAAGCTATTGTATGGCGTGCAAGCTTGCTCACCTTTGAGGCTAAAATATATCCACTTGATGATTCATGGGTTCTGTCAGGACTGGGTCATGACTACATGTTTGATACTCAGGCCATCAAGAGAGCTGCGGTGCTGCACTACAATGGTAATATGAAACCTTGGCTTGATATGGGAATTCCAAAGTATAGGAGTTACTGGAAGAAGTTTCTTAACATTGAAGATCAGTTCTTGAGTGAATGCAACGTATATTCTTAGTAATATGCTCCTTGTATGAGGTTGGAAATTCTGGAATTTTAGGGACGAGCTCTGAACAAGCAACAAGGGGATGCCTGTGTTCTGGGTGCTCAGAATTTTATGAGCTTAATGCACCGGTACTAAAATTTATCAGTCAATAAGGAACCTGGAAACTTAATTGCGTTTCTGGCAAAACACAAAGAAGTCTGAGTACCCTTGCAGTCTTAAGATAGCCTGAAAGGCGTTAGTCCAATCCAATCCACTATGCAAGTGGACACCATGAAGCAAGGCAGTGATCTGGGAAAATAAGTCGGAATATAAAGGTGGTGCAATTGGTTGTCTGTTCCAAGGAATTTTATTGTTTTACAGGATGTAAATGTTTCCCGTCTGAAAGATGTACATTTTTCCAATCTGAGAAGAGTAGAATTATGCATCCTAGTGCCTAGAGTAATAATCTATATGTCACAGTAGTAATTTTCATTAAAACTGTTCTTATTTGACAATAGAATGCTTCAATGTAGGACAAGTTTAATAGAAGCTCAAGTTTTCTGCAGTTTGTTTCCTTGTGTGAGCAAATTGCTTTCAAATCAAGGGCGGAAGTAGCCACGGCCAGCGGAAACTTTGTCATTTGCTTCTGGTCCTAGACACTGTCAGTGCCATTGAGCGTTATATCGTTGAACACTTGAAAGTTGAAACAAATCCCTGACACGTGTAATTTTTCTTTTAAAGAAAAACATAAAGGAAAACCAAGTTCCTGATTAATGTGGATCATGGCTCGGCTACTGCGCATGAGGAGGGTTTTTTTTTTTTTTTCTTTAGGAGGAAAAGTGTTTTGGATTAAAAAAAAAAAAAAGGAAGTGACATAATTAAAATACTGCCAGTTAAGATTACAGTAAGATGAGTTATAGTCTAATTGACCCGTGCGCAAATGATATAGTGCATTAGAAGTTGAGTCCTTCTATAACATTTACAAGTCAAAATCATTTATACCAAACAAAAAAAGTCAAATTTATAAATTTATAACCTATATGTTGTGTTTCGACCCAAGTTCTCCTTATGACCTTTTAGTAATAAGTTCAATAGACTTATTAGTAATTAATTTGCTTGCTTAGATGCATACATATTTTTCCCGGTTTTATTTTTATACACTTATGAAAAGAAACGTTATAGTTAAATATAACTATAGTTTTATGGTAAAAAAATATAAGTGTAACTTGTTTCTTATAAATAGAAACATTATAGTTAAACTATATTGTAGACTCATACGATGCACATTGTTTAAAAGAAATAAACAAGAGAAAAATGAAAGTTAAATTTTATTAATTATTTTAAAAAAGGACAACTAAAAATAACTCTATTTTTAATTTCTTTAGGAACTTCTTTTAATTATATTTTTTTCATTCCTAGTACAATATAAGAAGTTTTTTTTAGTTATTAGAATATAAAAATATCAACAATAATTTATTTTATTTTCACACAACTTATTTAAAAAATGTAAGGTATTTTTAATTAAATCTTGTCTTCCAATAAAATAGTCAATCCAAACTAATACTATATTTTTATATTTACCTTTATTACTCTAATCTTATTTATAATGTACTTCCAACATATTTTAATAATTTATTAACTTTATTCCTATTCAATATACATAATCTAACAATATATTTTCTATCTACAATATTCAAAAAAAGTTAAATTTTGAAATTTACGATGAAAAATTTAACAAGGTGATATATAAATATGATAAAAATTTTCTCTCTCTCTCCCCCCTATAAGTAGCACTAAAAAAAGTATATAATAGGGTGCTTTATTTTAAAATAAATATAAAGTACTTTATTTATTATGAATACTTTTTTAAAAAAAGGCACATTAATTATACTTTAAAGCACTAAAATTTTTTACATTTTTTAACATCTAATTCTTTAAAAAATATCCTATATTTTTAAAAAGAGGGGTACAATTTCAATTTTAAAATATAATTTTGAGTTTAATTTATGTCATTAAAAATAATTTTATAAAACAATTTAATTTATAAAAAATTGAAAAAATTTTGCATCGGACTACAGTGCCAATCCGACGCAAATTATGAAGGAAGTTTGCGATCAGAAACATTAGTTAAATATAACTACAATTTCATGGTAACAAATATAATTATAACTGATTTTCTTTATAAGTTGGTACCCTAGGTCTCTTCAATGACTCATTTCCTTAAAGATAGAGAAAATATAGAGAGGGAGAATTTTAATGAATGACTCTTTATGATACATAAATACTAAAATGCATATCAAATATGATACGTATTCGGTACATTGATATTTTTATTTTTAAAAATATAAAATACAATTCATTTTCAATACGTGCATATATTTATAAAAAGTCATAGAAAACATTAAAGATATAATTTTTACTTTATAAGATATCCAAACTAGCATTATCAAACAAAAAATAATTATTAATTATATTTTTATTTGTTTTATATCAAATTATCTATCACTTCATCTTACTAATAGGGCTAGTATTAATATCTTCTCCTCTTCAACTATTACATGACAAAAGGACAGCTTATACTTGCAACTTGTTTAAGGTTTATAACATCATATATTATAAGATTACGTTTCGATATTTTTATAATTAAAGAAAATGTTATCTTTATTCTTTTATTACATCCCAAACTTATTTTTTAAGGAAGATCTAATATTTAACTTTTAAAGTATTTCAAAAAAGATATAAATAATTAAAAATTTTAATATTGCAATATTTAATAAAATTTAATTTCTTAAAAAAAATTGAAGTAACAACTTATAATCTAGAAATTATCACACACACACATATATATATATATCAAAAATTAAAATTTTTTAAATTGAAAAATAATATTTGGATACTTAAGAAGTATTGGTGCATATTCATATCGTATACGATATCAGTATAAATATGAAAAGCAATTTAAAATTTTGATACTTCATATTGACTCTTGTAGAGATTTAATTTGCAAGATTAAAGATCTGAATTGAAATATATTTTGATAGGAAATGATTAAAATACCTTTTATTTTTTTGACAAATTAAATTAAGATTTTGACAAGTACGTTTCTTTTTTTAATAAGTCTGATAAGATTAAATATATGAAATATATTGTTAACAAGCTCTCCAAATAAATTCATATGCATTCACTATTGAAATGCAAGTTTTGCTAGAATATTAATGAATACATTGTATATTATAACAAGTCAACAAAATTAAATATTGTAAAAAAATATTATTAACAAGTTTTGTTAATGAATTAATAAATATATATTTGTGAAATGATAAGTTAAGGTTTTAATAACTTCACTTCATATTTTTAAAAATAATAGCATTTTAATCATTTACTATCAAATCATTTTTTCAGTCCAGTCAGTTAATCCTACAGTATATTTTTAGATTCTATTATTCTTCATTTGAAATTAAAACCCTACAAGATCCGTTATTGAAATGTTCCCCGTATGAACCGGTTTGGGCTTCCTAGAACAACAGACATGGCAGCATGTCCACATGCACGCAATGGAGGCCTAGCCAATATGTAAGTTGTAGCTGGACTGGACTAAAAGCTGAAACGGCCATCGCGGCCGAACTACCTGGGAGGCTGGGACATAGCGACAGCGAAAAACTAGTCTCAATTTCCCGCAGGTTTCCGCGCATTCCGACTGGTGATTACTGACTAGTTCTTTCTCGGCCATAAAAAATTTTCTAGTCTACTTGATTCTTCCAACCATTCGGCTTGTTAGTGCTTCCTTCTATTGAGGTTGACATCAAATTCTTAGAGAATGATATCTTTTGTGGTTCTTTTTTCTTTTTCACCTCACGTTTTCTTAATTGCTCGAATCAGTTAAGTTTTCAGGCAAAATCAGTTTGCTTTGACTGATGATTTATTTAGGGTCATAGGCAGATGATATTATTTATGTGGTTTCAGTAATTTCCAAGTCGGGTTTTTGAAACATTTATGTTTCCAATGCTGGTGATTGCCGTGTTATTTGTAGATTTGCCATGCAAGCGGAGGTTTTCGATACATAATGGGCTCTAGTATACTTCATGTGAAGCTATAGTAAGGCTCGACCAAGTAATGGGATAATCTTCATCAACAAGATCGCATGTGGTCCTTTCTTCTCTTTTTCATCCCGTTATACTGTTTCCTTATCTCAAGCAAATTCGCCTGGTCTTGTTGCTTAAAATTCCATGACTAACGTTCTTAGAGTCTAGCCTTGTCAGAGGGGGGAAGGGAGATGCTAGCGTTGTATGACCGGGGGTAGAAGTGGGGGAGAGAGGGTGATATACTCGCTGAGGGAAGTTGATGACAGGCATGATGGGCTTATTGGCGACGACATGGAAGAATTCTCTGAGAAGGAAGCTTCAACTAAAACCGATGGTTCTTCATACTGTAAAAGAAGGACAAAGGAGCCACATTTTAATGTCTCCACCTCTTGTGTCTCTGGACCTACCTGACATCTGGACTCCAAATTCATCACGTTTTAGTGTTTCATCAGTACACAAAAGCTGTAAGTAACTCTTCCCTTTTATCAAGGGTTTCCTCATTTTGACAATGCTTTTATTGTTTCAGTGAGATTCCTTTGATTGTTCGATTCTATAATATTTTATGATAAGATTTTATCTCTTACAATAAGGTTAATTGTTCCTTTTCATCTTTTACTTGATTGAGCAAAGGCTGGTATTTTGCAGTTGTTTGTAGGCTATATCAGCCAATATCATCTATCAACTGTGGAAGATAATATATGAGGTGGCCACCAACTCTGATGCTAATTGATAGGCATCCAAATGAGGTGGGGAAATCTTTCCCAAAAGTTAGATATTGATGAGGGTGAGATAAACTACTGAAGTGCACCATAGAGCAACCCATGCTATTCAATGTGGGATTTGGAATACCATACTGTTTTAGCTTCCACCAGAGATATTAATCAGATTTAGAGTTGTGGCATTGTAATTTGTTACAAATTACAAAACCACATAATACTCACAAGCAGGGAGAAAGTTGTCTTTGGAGATTGAATTTTACTCTGTTCATACTTTGTTAGATGGGTCCTTAGGAGTATTGGTGGGTTTACAAACAATTATACCAATATCCTTAGGCAAGTTAAGAGCATATCTTCTTTGGGACCTAGAAATTCGTTTGCCAGGCTAGACTACTTCAATCTCGAGGAAATATTTTAGAGTACAGAAGTCTTTAATCTCAAATTCCTTGCTCAAGACTTTATTAAGATTGATGATCTCTTCATCAGTATTTCCTATCACTATCATATCATCCATCCATATGTTTAGAACTGTAGTCTTACCACTAGTAGCTATAATAAAAAAGATGTGTAATTTGTTTGGTCTTGTGTGAGCCTAGGCTTTTTAATTGCCTTGTGAATCTTTCAAATCAAGCTTTGTCTTCTAACCCAGTTCAATAACAGCAATAAAAATGAAGCCCTAAAAGAATTCTTCTCGCTGTGCACAATTATCATTAAGATGCTTTGAAAAGTGTAGAAACTTAACAGCTTAATTGTTAGAATACAACACAAATTCTTAAGAAAGGAGGATGCTCAAAGGACCTCACAATAGTATAAAACTTCCTATCACAAGTGGAACAATGCTGTTTAGCTTCCTTGAGCTACTCATCAAAGAAAGCTATAGAGTTACCCTTGTAACTCAAGACCTCCAGTTTTGCTCTGTTATGATGCGAATTGTTTTAAAGTGGGATGAAAGGGGGTGGTGGAAGAATGTTTAGACTTCAATGTTGCTCAGATTTGATTAAAAAGCAATCTTCAAAAAAGTTCAGTCCTGGAATTGAAGTGAACACTGAGGTAATAGTTTATCAATTTAGAGTTTATACTTGAGAGTTTGAAACTGAAAAAGGAAACCAGCATGGATACCTCGGAAAGTTATGCCTTTCTGTTAAACTTCACAGACAAGTCTGATAAATGGTACTCAATATTTTAGCAGGGTGTGCTGAAGCCCCACACCCCCCCCCCACCAAAAAAAAAAAAAAAGGAAAGGAAAGAAAAACCTTATCCAACTCGTCTCTCTAGATTGTGGATATGCTATGACAGTAGAACATTGTCTTCCTGGTTTTCATTTCTCATAACATGCATTCCAAATGTGCTTTTTCCATGTCTTTGTTTCTTAAATCACTACACTGACAAGGATGTTGGTCGCAGTTAATGAGCAGACAGCTAGATTGTTGGATGGAAAAATGGTTTCTATGGAAATCAGATCGAGCATAGCTGGTGAGGTAAGGCGGATGAAGAAGTGCACTGGGAATGTTCCCGGGTTAGCTGTGATTATGGTGGGCCAGAGATGGGATTCTCAGATTTATGTTCGCAACAAGATAAAAGCATGTGAAGAAGTTGGAATCAAGTCCTCTGTAACTGAACTACCGACTGACTGTACAGAAGCTGAAGTTCAGAATGCTTTGTTGAGATTTAACAAGGATCAATCAGTTCATGGTATTCTTGTGCAACTTCCTCTACCCCAAGTAATTTTCTGAATCTGTGACATAATTGGATAATACATAGACATTACTATGTGCTTATTAAAGGGGGGGGGGGGGCGCTACAATGAATTGATGAGTGATAAATATGAATATGACGGTATAATTAGGGATATGCATAATGTCTAGAGCTGATGCATACGACTGGCAGCAGAGGATATATTATGGAAATTAGACAATATTAAGTTACATAAACTACTTTTGAATTATCTTAATGTTAGTTTGGGATATTTTTTTCATTGTGATTTTATAAGAATAAATTTTATGAAATGAGTTCCAACTCGATAAAAATTTGCTCATTTTAAAATTTGTTCAGGTGGGCAGGTTTGGATTCAAGTATATTAGTGAAGGGGATGAGGCTTGACTTGTTAGGTTTTAGGTCCGGGAATGAGGGAAGTATTTTTTTTTTCAAAGTTTTGGGTTTGAGTACTATAATTCCCTACTCATAAAAGTCATACCCCACCCATGATGATCCCTTCAAGCAATAGTTGAAACTTGAAAGAAAGGGAATGCTTACATTTGTGTAACCATTACAAATGGATTAAATGCACAATTGATGTTTTTTTTGGTTTAATTACTTTGTTTGGTGTGGATTTTATTCCTTTTCTTTTCTTTTTAGCCTCAATAGTTCCCATTTCAAGGGTAGTCCTTACACTTGAAAAGTTGATAAGGACCTTACTGCAATGATTCACCACAAATCTGTTAAACAGATTAAATGACTTGGTATGATTAACCTTCAAGTTGATGACTGATAGGGCTTTTGTGACTCTCAAGCCAAGATTCTTCATAGATTTACATGTGCATTGACTCTCTAGGGTCTGGTCAACACCTATTTGTTGTTGTTGCCATAGACTCATGGCCTATTTGGATAATCCTCAAAAGCACATTCAAACTACATCTGTAATGTGCTTTTGCCAAATCTAACAAATAATTGGATCCCCCCAAATGTGCTTATGCCAAATGTAAACTGAAAACCAAACACACACCTAGCTACTTTGTTGACAAGCCTATAATAGATGGTCACATCAGTGATTCAACTAGCACTTTTGGAAACTGTAAGTACTCAATAATGGAATCTTAATGTCCCATTTGGGATCATTGAACTTGGATTTAGGAAATAGAAGTGGAAGCAGAAGCCAGCATTGGTTCTGTAGGGAAGTGAGTTCCATCAAAAAGCACAGGAGTTGATTCCTTTTTAGCTACAATGGAACTGGTCTGACTTCCATGGAAGTCACTTCATATGACTATTTTACCCTCAACCATTCAGTGTCCAGCGATCACCCTCAGCATCTCTTGTAGCAACGATGATGATGGTTTGCATAGTGCTCAACCTCTAGCATAGGTAGCAATGCTCCCCAAGCAATGGCGTATGATTTGTTCTTATGATTTTTGGTAGTCTCTTACTTACTGGGTCTGAAAACTGTTTCTCCATTTCAAACAGGGATGATGGAACCCATTTGCTTTTCAGTTCTGCTTTTCAGTTTTGGATTTGATGGTTCCAACTAGACATTGCTTTCTGTGTTCACACGATTGAATCTCTGTTTCATTTTGTTCTTTGATTTTGCAATTTCTGGTCTGTGATCTTTGTTTTCGGTAGGTGTTGGAATAAACTCCCTGTTTTACTTGCTGCATCTCGCTGCTTTGTTGTTTTGTAAGGGGACGACTTGTATCACGTTCTTGTATTTGCTGCGTATTTCTATAAGTGGGCGGTGTAACAGATTCAGTTATGCTAAATGAGATATACAGATTCCCCTTTCTCTATTTTTCTTTATCTTCTCCGCCTTCCATTCTTTCTCTATTCTCTGTATTCTGGTATTCTGAGCTTCTGATCCTATCCGTTTTTGTGAGTTTTGATTCTTCACATGATTTCTAGGGTTTGTGGTGGTCTCCTCTGGTTTTTGAACAATGATTCTTTGATTTATAAATGATTTTTGACCCAAAAAAAAAAATCTAAATGGTTCAATTGTCCTGGTTTCTGTGAATGCCAAGCACTTGTTCGGGGTTTGACGAGATTACTGGGGCAAAGAGTCAATGAGGATGAACAGATGGCATCCCTCTATTTTTTCAACAGATTGGGCTTCCACACACGATTTTTTTTAATAAAAACAATAATTGTTTCAGGGTTTTATTTTATTGAGATTGATTGTTTTTGGGTTTGATCATGTTGTGCTTGATTGCGTTTTCCTATTTGATTGCTTTTTTTTGTGACAGTTGCCATGACTTCTGGTGTTGGTGGACGTTGGTTTTGATGTCTGGGTTAGGGCTGTTATTTTTTCTTGGATAAGGGTATATTAGTCTTTGCATATTATAAATGCAAATAATAAAAGTAATACTAAGTCTTCATATGCATAATGAACATATTTTTAAGCCATAGCAATGAGCTAAGTAAACCTCTTTCCTTGATTTAAAAAAAAAAAAAAGAAAAAACATAGGCCCCATTTGGCATGTTGGAAGAGTGTTTTGATTGAATTGGAATGGAATTAGGTTTTAAAAGTATGTTCGGTATAAAAATAAAATCTTATATAATTTTAGTAAGTATATAAATTTAAAATAGGAAAAGACCAGAGTGCCCTCTTTCCAAAATAAAAAAAAGACCTCCTCTGTCCCTTTTATCATCCCTCTCCTTTCCAATCACTGACATCTTCGTCTGTTGCACAAAACCAGTGATAGCCATTACCCATCCTTCCACTGTCGCCCAAAACTAGCAGCAACCATTAAAATTCAACTTCCCTCTAATGTTTCACAAAGCGACTTCAAAGATTGATGCTTTAAACTTCATATTTAAACAATATTTGAAAATTTAAACTTCATATGTTAACAAATATTTTATTCAAAAATCGAGTGGAGGAGATCAATGCTTAATACTAAAGAAGTGTTGGCTGGAGAAGACTGAAGGTGGACATTGGAGAAGCTCGTCGTCGTTGTTTATCACTAGTGAGTAAATCATCGTCTAGCTCTTGATTCCATGGCAACCTATGACAAATAGAATAGAAGAGGAAGAAGACAAAGGAAAGGAGCTGCAGAGAAATCAAAACGTCTCGCACCAACGAAATGGCCTGTCCATCGCACAAAAGAGGTGGAGTTGATGGTGGGCAACGAAGGTGGAGGCAGTGATTTCAGATCATGACTGTGGTTGCGGAGTTTGACGACAATGGATAATGACAGTGCTTCCATCCTTTACTGTTGCCAACGACAAAGTGATGAAGTTGGGGATCAAGTGAAGTTCGACTACAGTGGATTGAAGAGTTAAAGGGTAAAAGAGAGACAAGGTTGAACTCTAGGTAGTCTAGCCCAATTCCATAGGGGGAAGGGCGGAACCCAATTCTAGCGTTTTTCCTAGAATCAGGATTCTTGGGATCCTAATTAATGTGTGCCAAACATCACTCTATCTAGATTCCTCCACCAATTCCTTTTACATTATCAAGATTCTACACTACCAAACAGGGCCTTAGAGTATGGTTTGTTTTGATTCAATGAGAAGTGTACTAGTCATAACTACTTGAAAAAAAAAATCCCATTAATCTAGTATTTAACCAATGGAATGTTGGCGATCATTAATTCTCAATATTTACTGTAGTTGATGTTTTGTGATTGACTTGTAAAAATTTGGAGCAGCATCTAGATGAAAGCAAAGTTTTGGATGTTCTATGCCTAGAAAAGGACGTGGATGGCTTTCATCCTCTTAATATGGGGAATCTCGCCATAATAGGAAGGGAACCACTATTTATTCCATGTACTCCAAAGGGCTGCGTTGAGTTATTGATTAGATCTGGAGTGGAGATCATTGGAAAGAAAGCTGTTGTGATTGGAAGAAGTAACATTGTCGGTCTACCTACATCCTTGTTACTGCAGGTAAATGTGAAACAGAGAGATGTAGATGAAGTAATGGTTTTTCCAATTATGTTGTTTTTCTGTGCATTTAGGAGGTATGATACTATTTTTATTGTGGCAGAGACACCATGCAACGGTCACTGTTATACATGCATTTACAGAAAAACCTGAACAGGTCACGTCAGAAGCTGATATTGTAGTTTCGGCTGCTGGAGTACCCAATATGGTCCGTGGCAACTGGATAAAGCCTGGTGCAATAGTCATTGACGTTGGTACAAGTCCAGTTGAGGTGACCACTTTAGCTTCTGTAAATCATAATAAAATTTGCTTTTCATCTCCAGCTTTGAATTTTTTTTTCTTTTGGGTAATAAGCTTTGAAATGCTTTTTACTCTCGGTATTTCTTCACATTTCATCGGTACTAATTTCTTTATTCCTTCAATATTTCTTCATATGTTTTAATAGGGTTTAGATATTATAATGATGGTCATAATATTTGAAACATTTACAAGTTATCATATTTTTTGTGCATGACCCAAAAAAAAAAAGAAAAAAAGAAAAAGATCTAATTTGTGTGTATATATTTAAAACATTGGCAGGACTCGAGCTGCGAGGATGGTTACCGTCTTATAGGAGATGTATGCTACGAAGAAGCCGTAAATGTGGCATCTGTCATTACTCCTGTTCCGGGTGGAGTTGGGCCTATGACCGTTGCCATGCTACTGTCTAACACTCTAGATTCTGCAAAACGCATGCTTGATTTTAATTGAAATATGAAATCGCTGTGCTGTAATGGTCATAGGTATATTGATTACTGATTTTTATCCCGTGTTAATCAATAAGCCAATTAAAGTAGTCATTTTTCAATATATAATGATTACTGATTTTGAGTACTTGTACTTAATTGATAAATAAATGGGATAATCACTCTAAAGTTTCATGAAAGTATTCCTTAAAGTTTTATGAAATTATCAAATAGCTGTCAGGTCTTTAGGGATTTGGTGGTGATTAAGTTTAAAAATATGATTATTGATTTGCCCTTTATTTGAAATATATGAAAATTATTATGTTTTTCACTAAACTTGTGAAAGCTCAAACCCACAATGGATGAATCTCTGTTCCTCTCTCTTGTTACTCTTGAAGTTTGTTGCCAACCACCTTTTTTTAAAATGGCATTGCCTTCGTCTTGTATGTCTTGGTTCGTTAGTCAATAGCTTGATAGTGATAGTGACTCATTTTGCTTTCTCATTTCAACCACTATGTTTCCATGCGTGGCACAATCTATTGTGCTTGAGAATTCCATTTGGCTTTTAAGTTTGAGGATTCAACCAGTTTCAACCACTAAAGGTAATTTTTTATTACCTAAACCATATCTTTGATCAACCCATTCCTTGGTTTTTGAATGGAGTAACACAATTCGTCAATCTTAAATCATGGTTTTTGATCAACTTTAGATTTGAGTATTGTCAATATTTGCTTAAATATCAATTTTTTCAAGCTTAAATCATGGTTTTTCTCATCAAGATATTCGTGCATTGACTACATGTTATCGCTTTTGCCTAAAAATCTATAATTTATACAAATTGGTTACTTAAGTTGATTAGTCTCTTGATTCTGTAATTTTAAATTTTTACTAATTTTTTCATTGATGACAACGGTTTACTCCATTGACAATGATCATATACTTCATTGATTAGTGAATCATCATGAGTTATAAGTACCATATATTTACTATAACTGTATACTCCATTGACTAGTGAAACAAAGTGAAATTACATTGACAAGTGTAGGTTATTACAGTAACAACAACTGTATAGGATAGTGACTACTAAATACTATATACTCCAATGACTAGTGAATTAGTGTAATTTACAAGTACCATATACTTTGTTGACTAGTGAACCAGTGTGATTTACAAGCATTGTTCCCTTATATGGATCATTTAAATGACATCCATCTATATAAAATACGGCTCAACAATCTCTTAGAAAATTGGATATAGAGCATCCATAAGTCATGAATAACCTCTTAAATCTATTATTTGTGGCATTCCATTTTGATATTGTCATCAGATTAGTTTTCATTAATCGATCACAAATCTAAGAGGTTATGCTATAAGAATCTTATGCACAACCATGAATTCCCTACAATGCTTTTTCTCTTCCCTTATAAGCTTGATTGTAGCTCAATCGCACACCACACTCTTTATACAAGTCTCTTGTGTAATGTCTATGTTGACATTATCACAATTCACCACTAACAATCACCATATTAATAATTAAAAAGAATTAAGCATTCATAAGCCTTAAATCAATTAAAAGGGTTTAAAGAAAATAAGATAAAATATGTGTAAAATCATTGAGATCCCGTAAATTTTTAAAAGGTATTTGAGCTCAAACATAATCTTTCAAAAATCATAATGGAAGCGTAAGAATTAAATAAGGCACCAAACACAGGATAAAAGAGCTGAAAACAAGTATATGTTATTACAGTAAGAACAACCATATAGGATAGTGACTATTAAGTACCATATACTCCATTGACAATAATTAGATGCCAAAATAGTCCCAAGCATACATGTTTTTTTTTCACCTTCTCACTCTTTCATGTAATCCATATTATTATTGTACCTTATTTTGTGGTGCAAGATTACCTGTATAGAAAGAAGGTAGAATACTTTAGGTGGCTACTAAATTATCATAATAACATGAAGGAGCAAGAAGCCATGTCCTTGTTACCAGGGTCTTAAGAAAGCAAGAAGAAGAACTAGAAGGGTTAGTTGAGTCATAGACTGACTGTAGGATAGTACTTGATTGATGATTATGTACTTCTTTATAGTTGGTCCATTTTGTATAGTTAACTTAGTAAATACTATTATGAATGTTGATTCCAAGTTTGTAAATATGACTAATAGTTTGTCATTAATATGGTTAAGTATATGGAGTAATATGGTGATATTGCAATAGTTCCCTTTAAAAATGAACAGGTTACTTTGGTCAAAAAAAATGAACAGGTTACAAGAATTTATTGACAACTTGCGAATGGCCATTGAATATAGAGCAACAACAACTGACAAGTGAGGCATTGGCAACTGACAAGTGTGAATATATTAGATGCAATAGTTCCTTTAAAAAATGAACAGGTTATAAGAATCTATTAATAACTTGCCAATGGCCATTGACTACAAAGTAACAGCTATAAAGTCTGACTGCAAGTTGTAATAGCTCCCTTATCTAATCAGAAATCACTAACAAATTCAAGATAATTAAGAGATTAACCCTAAGGAAGATTGTCAAGTTTGTAATTTAAAAAAATTAGGATCCCAAGTTTGCATAGTTTGAAATAAGTCAAAGTCATTCATTTAACTTTTAATCAAAGTCAAATAATATTTTATGGTGCCTATGCCATATTGCACTTTTTTACAGCAAACTTTGCTGTCATTTAATAGCAGATTCCAAGCAACTTCCAGCATAACTCATTTTTTCATTTGACTTTCAAATGAGATGATCTAGTTGTCTACAAAAAGCTCTTTTTATAAACTAGTTAATGGCACAGGTTTTACTTTCAAATTAAGTGACACCAGAAAGTTGGATACCTAAACATATTTTCACAACTTTTCACAATTTTCATAACCAAAGGGTGCCCAAAAACCCATACATGTGCCAATTGTCATTCCTAACATCAAGATCATACTTATTGGACCTAAGATTACCTGTTCAATACACCACACACATATAAATCACTATGTCAAAGTTTTACCCCTTAACCCCTTAATACCAAAAAATAGAAGGGGGGATTTTTTAGCATTGTATTTAAAATCAACATTCACAATCATTTTCAAATGAATATCCTTCTACTTGCATTAGTATTTTGACCCTATTAATACTTCAACAATTTACATACAACACTCTGGGCCCAAAAAACATCCCAATGTCATTAATAACCATATAGTGCAAGTTTATGCAAAACATATTCTAATTGACAATATTTAATCTATTACAGAAACTAAATGAATTAAGGAGGCATTATAATAGGAATGCTTGGATTCTTAAGCCTTTGGAGCCTTTTTCCTTTCTGTACTAAAGCTAGAGCCTATAAAATATTGAAAAAGATGGATGAATCTAGCTAATCAAGTAACCAAGGTATACCTAGCCTATATAGTTATATATCAATTGAATAAACACACAAAGTGAGTTAATTACTCCAAAACATATAATGGCATGCGATACAAGTTATAATTTTACAATTCATTTCACTTCCACATGTATCTCCTTAGGTCACAGAGTGCATTGCCACATGACATACAAACATGTGACAATGACCTAACTTATTATTAGGACTTGTCACAAACTTATGGATTTTAGCTAAACTTGATAAACTATGGGATGAGGCTATACCTTCGTGCATCGAAAGGTAGTCATAAATACCATATGGATTTTATCTACTTCTTTTCCTAAGCGAACTCGCACTAACTAATCATGCAATGTACAATGCTCGCTCATTTCACAATTTCATTTATTCAATATTAACGCATTGGGCTTATGATAATATGCTACCCAAGTAAGCATCCATATTATTTTCACAAATTTTCTTCACTTTACTAAATCATCCATTTCTTCATCAACACATAGCATCATATAACATAACATCACACTTCTCATCCCAAAATATGTTTATATTCATAGTTTTGAAAACCATTTTGACTTCAATTCCAAATTTCAAGTCAAAAATAAAACATTATGCACATACGCAATTCAACCAATCATCAAGGTTCATGACATGCTCTCATGTTCACAATTAAATTATACCTGATAATATACACATTGTCACAATTAACATTCAATTAACAAACAACTATTTAAAATAGAGTTCCCTCAGTTACCTTAAACTTCTGAGAGATTAAAGGTTTAGCCCTCAACAACTTGCTTCTAAACTTACTTTTCAAGCCCAAAGTAGTGCTCGAACAATTGATCCACAATTAATCAAGTCTAAACTCAATTACTAATACCAAAAACACATTTTCACTTTGGGCTTAACCATTGGATATATTAACTCTCATTAGCTCCTAATAGCTTTATTAAACTCTCACATTGTCTTTTATGGCTCGCTAACCAACTCTATCTACCATAATAAATGACATTGACGGCCATTAATGCACCCATAACTACTAAAATGTGTAAACTCATTGATAATAGGTTTAAATACCTCAAACAACTCTTATTAACTCCATTTAAATTAATGAGTTCATACTCATATTCTATATAGATTGAAAATCATCTTCCATTATCAAACCCTAAGCAAAAACTTCAAGAAAATGGAAGAAAAAGAGAGATTAGGACTTAGGAAACTTACCTTAAGTGTTTACTAGCTTTAAAATGCCCTAAATACCTTCCAAACGTGAATCCTAGCAGTTCTTCTTGCTTGCTCTTCATTTTCTCCCTTTTCTCTTTTCTAATTTTCAGTTTGTTCATGAGTTACTTATCAAAAAATTTGTTCACGAATTACTTATCAAAAAAATTTATTTGAGAGGTCCTCTTGTCCCTTTATCATATGTGCAATGTGATGGACGTGTTACATGTCATGTCATATGGCACAGAGACAATTTCTTCATGTTTTCTCCTTGATTTGATGCTTGGATGGCCCAACTTCATTTCGGACTTATAATTAGGGCTAAAATCACAATCAAATACACTTATTAGACCTCCCTAGCTATACATCACATTAAATTACTCAATTATCATAATTAAACTTGATTACTTCTTTAGTAATCCAAGGATTAAAATTTTGGGATGCTACTATGACTATTGACAAGTAAGGCATTGGCCATTAACAAATGCAAATATACTAGATGCAATAGTGTCCTTTAAAAATGAACATGTTACAAGA